CTGATTTGTTAGTCATTATATAATTAAGGACGAATACAAAAAAAAACTTGGGCAGGCCTATGTACCATATATTTCAGTGCATAAACGTGTGCCGAATTCATTCACATTTCGTTTTATACCTATGAATAAGAGATCCATAGTAAATGTCATTACTCACTATTTATCATCAATTCAAGGCATATGAGTCAGGAAATATAAAGCATAAGGAACAAACAAACTGAATTAATGAGTGAATGTGTTTGACATGAGACGACAATAGAGCAGAAAGAGAAATAAATGCATTTGATTAACCTAACCGTGAGATGACGTAAGTTGATATCGACTTGCAATATATTTATCAATCCGCCAAGAAAATTAGTGCGCGCGCGCGCGCGCGCGCGCGCGCGCGTGTGTGTGTGTGTGTGTGTGTGTGTGTGTGTGTGTGTGTGTGTGTGTGTGTGTGTGTGTGTGTGTGTGTGTGTGCTCCATCAAATAAAGCTTTTCCAAAAGAACTCACAAAATAGGCGCCCACGGGCTGTTAAGCATAGGAAATTGGGCGTATCGTGGGCGACTTACCCAGTCTTCCGGCAAGTGTCATGACTGATAGTGGAAAGGGCGCTATGTCCTACTTCAGCTACGTCCAGGAGGCGACGGACCTAAAAATATATCAGTTCATCAATAACAATTATAACTCACAATGATAAGACAGAAATAGCAATAATTAAAATGAAATTAAAGTATTAATAATAATAATAATAACAATGATGGTAATAATAATAACAACAACAATAGTAATAATAATTATAATGATAATAATAATAATAATAATGATAATAATAATAATAATAATAATGATAACAAAATAATAATAATAACACTAATGATAATAATAATAACAATAGTAGTGATAATTTACTGATGAAAAAGAACAATAATTCTAATGATAATAATGATAACAATAACAACAACAATAAAATTAAGATTAAGAAGATAAAAATATTAAGAATAAGAATGAGAATATGAATAAAAGAAGAAAAAATATCCACTGTCACATTATCACAATGTGCAAAAAAAATGAAAGTCGGTTGTATGTGACGTCTACTGAATTTGGAAAGCTGTTCCATTCTATATTTCGGATCTTAGCAAACAGAAATTGCAATAAAAATGAAACCACTAAGATCGTTCAGAAAAAAAAATGAATAAATAAATAGGGTGCACATAAAATAGACAGATATAGAACAACAACAGGGAGAAAATCAAACAGAGAGACAGCACAAGCAAACAAAGTGAGAACAACACAGTCCCACAGGCAGAGAAGCACATACTTTCCCCCAATAGCAGAGCACCAAACCAAAGGCCCCGAGCACTCACCCTTCTCACGAACATGTCATCGATGGTCTGCGTGCGCGAGAGGATGGCGACGGAGCGGCGGTGCAGCAGACCCGCACGGTCGCACTCGAAGATAGCCATGTAGGTGTCGTAATCCGTGTCGAAAATGATGAAGTCAGCTTTGCCGGTGATAGCTGCTGAGGAGAGAAGCGAGGCGGGTTACTTACTTCACGTTTGGATTCTGGGACGAGGGATAACTGTCTTTCCATTATTCATTGAAAGGGATAATGTGCGATGGGTGCTTTGGGCGTTCATACGTCTCCATGACGGTCTGATTAGTTTGACACCGCACAAACTTGAAGTTCATATACAATGTTCTATGTTAATATTTATAGATATATATATTCATATAATTATATCTATACTTTATTTTCTAAATATCTAGATATACCATTATTATTATATTTATTTCTACATGCAACAAATTCTTTGCTCACTTCTTCATATGCATCTATACCTATAGAACAGTCTATGCTCGCATTTACATGTATATTTACATTTTTTTATCATTCTACTTTAAAAATGAAAACCAACGACCTACACGTGGGCCAGCGGATGCGCATTTTGGAAGGGACTTCTGGGTTGGGAATGTCCACCTTGGCGGTGATCGCGTGGGTGTGGTCGACGCCGAATGTGTCCAGCACGGACAACTGCCGCGTCTCCGTCACCAGCAGCGTGTCGGGAAGCTCTCCGCGAGTCAGGTTCCACATCAGGCAGGTGTTGTCGGTGTCGAATTTGTGAACGACGTACCATGGACCTAGGACCTGCGGGACGCCATGTTGAGTCAGAAGGGAATTCCTATCGCTATGTGGCACGGACGTGTCGGCCACCCGCCGTCTTCACCAAGGCCTCCGTAGATCATATAGTGTTGATACAAATGAGATTTGTGTTGACAAAGTCTGTTTGTTTGTTTGTTTGTTTGTATATGAGTGTGTGTATGTCAGAAATGAGCTTTACGAGAATAGTGATTTCATGCATGTGTATAAATGCGATGTTAACAGAGTTGGGGTTCTGTCTTAACACTTTTTATATGTATGATAGCAATGTAGATGTACTAGGCTTGACTTTAAAAATATTCCTTGACAGAGCTCGTATATAGCGTGGCGTGCATCTAAAGAGCGTGACAGTTCAA